CATTTATATCGATATACAAATTTATAGTTTTGCTAAATTTAACATATGTATAAACTATGACTGTTGATTGTAGCATAATAATATCCTTACCGACCTTGACTGGGTCAAATGTTTTTTGCCTCGTTTGTTTGCTTGATGGATGAGTGTATCAGTTCGCATATGTTTATATTACATAATAATAATTATAATTTTTAATCATACTTAATTTATTATTAGTCTACATTGCTATATACAGATCATTAAGCAAATATAAATAGACGAAATTAGTATTTATGTATTTTTAATTGATTTAATGATTTAATGCTAACATAAACAAATATTGGAAGATATTGGTGTCAACAAATTTAAAAAATGAAACGTTTATCAATTATTTTTATATTTTTGTTCTTCAAAAAAGTATACTCTTTTTAAGTACTATTAAGGTTACTTCAGAGTTCACAATGCGTACGTGACACCCCTAGCGTTCAGGCATCCACAGACTTAAGTAAACGTTTACCATCATACGGGCTGAATGCTTGTTTGCCAATTTTGTGATATTAAACAAAAATAAATCGATATTTATCAATTCTGAACCTTCTTTATATATTGGATTAAATTATAAACTTGGAATATAATAATTTTTAAACTATAAATGTCTTGCTGGAATTCTCGCATAAAAAAGGTCGCTAATGCATTATTCTTATACACCGGTCCATTACTGTTTCAATTTTTTCCCAATAAGGCGTTAACTGCAAAAAGCATTTTATCATATATATTTACATTACTAACTGGGACTTAGTTATTTGGTAATTGTTGTTTTAACAGAAACCATAATTTTTTTATTACATACGATCATAGTTTTTAACAAATTGCGTGTAGTCCAATTAAAAGGAAATTCCATTAATTGGTTCACAATAATTGAGTGAACTATTTGTAACATACTGACTCAAACAAATAGCATCGTCAAGTGCGAGATGGTCTTACGTAATGGGGGTTCCGTAATTATAATAAATACGTTTTTATAATATTTTCTTTGAATGAAAATTTGAATTATTTAATTTCATCGTAAGTCAAAAATTACGAGGCTAAAAGAATATAAAAACCGGTTTTAGAATGTGCAAATAAAGCCCTTTGAGTGATACCCTACTTGAATTGTGGTAGAGCCATTTTTAGACCCCTCCAGCAAAGAAAATAAAATATTATTTTAACAAGGGTCATTTGCAATAAGGGTGGGTTAACAATATTTATAATTATACCGAAACTTAAGTCGATAGCGTTATATCGGTATCCAAATAAAACTTTTACATTTACAATATTAGTAGAATTTATTCGTCGAGATATCTATCCTATTGACATAATAGTTTGGGCAAGGGTCCCTTTATTATTACATAGTTACGGATTTGTGGGTACGATATGACTTAACTTTTGCAGTTATCGTCATCATTTCAGCTATTCATTGTACAGAATATACGTCTCCCCAGTAGATTGTCATAAGGTTCTGTGCCACCTAATGCATATTTGAAGACGTCATAGAAGCATTTAGATAGAGGTCGCTGATTTCTCATATACTTCTTTTGCCTTGACTCAGTTGTCATACGAGAATCATCCTTATTTTTTGAGTAATATGGACTTTTCAATCAATCTTGAGGACTATATCTATATACCAGAAGGAGACTGTACAAAAGTCATTTGCTTGGGTACCTCTGTCCCAGTAGTGTTTGTGCCATGAAGCAGTGTGTGATATAGAGGCATAACACCTTAGTCTACAGGAATGGCAACGCATGGGGGTTATCATGGGCGAAACAGTATACTCTGTTATGTTAATGGTATTGTTCATGTCTATAGCCGATGGTTACTTACTCGTACTACGCAGGGAAGCTTAATGTTCTTTATTGGGATATTTATTTCGCTCTATATTCGTGACCGAAATCTATCCTTACAGAGCCTCCATAAGTCAAAGCCGTCAATGGTATTGTAAAAAGATAAGCAAAAAATAATGAGAGAATCATCTGGGTGGCGTGCGAAAATTCGTTACTTAACAAGGTGAACGAGTTGGCGCGTGGCGTGGGCGGTACAAAAAATACGAATCTACAACCGCCTGATCAGCTGACAATATTTCATAGTACGAATAATGGATGTGGGATTTCATATTTTGGTATTTCCAATGTAAAATGCCACTTTGTATTGACCGTGTGGGTATAAAATAGGCCACCCGTACTATCTGTGAGTATCGTAGAGGTGACTAAGGGACCATAAATATTTGAAAAGCCGTAAAATATCCAGAAACATCTATACTGTGTTTGCCAATCTGCTACCAAGCGTCACAACTATAGACAAACCACCTGTATACCTGAATAAGAATTCTCGAATACTCTTAAAGAACATTTAAAAAAAATTTGGTATACTTACTCAATACATTTAGAAAATATGTACTTACGTTATGTACGTATGAAAAACTATACATTAGTTTAAAATTAAAACAGTGTCTTACATTCTTATAATACAAGAAATTAAATGTGCCTGGTTTTTTCATGAGGCACTGTATATGTTTTTATAATAAACTTCCACCTGGTGTTTTTTAATTGAAAAATAAAATTAATATATAAATAAAAAGAACTCTGTACCAAAGCATATTATAAAATAAACAGCTATTTCATCATCATCATGGATTCGAACTTTTCTTTGTTTTTCAGGGTATATATTTATATATTTTTTTTCTTATTCTGATTTTAGATGCTGTTAATTAATATAATAATTTCTTTTAAGCAGATGTGTTATTCCTGTAATAGTATTTATAATTTTAAAATAACGTATCATAAAAGTCTATTACAGACCTAAATGAATAAAATTTGATGGATTTATTTTGATTAATAGAAAATGTTTCTCAGATTTAGGCGTAGCAGATTTACATTGGTCTTACTGAAACCATGAGAGGGAGCCTTAACAATTTTTTTTTAATATGCCCTATGTACAGACATCGTTTCATTACAATTTAATAAATTAAACTTTTTTTTGGCTTTTTTGTTGACGTTACTCTTTAGAAAAAAAATATAATTTTACCTATATTATTTTTAACCCTCTGTAAACTATTTTTGCTGTATTTGAAACTATATATTTGAATCCAACCCATATAATGCTGTTGTTGTACTATTTAGAAATTATAAGCTCATATTTTCATCCGTGCTATAAACAGCTACATAAATACAATACTACATAATACGTACAATGTAATAATACATATAATACTACACACATACAATGTTTAACGTATTTTATGTCACTGCAGAAATAAATAATTTTATCTCGAATGGATTCTGAGAATCTTTCAAGGTCTCAAGTAAAATAATGACGTAATAAGTTCTTGTATTTTGTGAACTTTATGGAAGATGTGAAATGAAGTAATATACCTACATATGAACTATATTAAAAAAAAAAAAAAATATATATATATATATATATATATATATATATATATATATATATATATATATATATATATATACTATTTGAGACATCAGTTCTTTTCATCCAATGCGGTACTCACTAACATAATAAATACATGATCCCATTTGTAATATCAGAAAGGTAGTAAGAATATCTGTAACGTTCATTAAACAGATATTTTATGCTACTATGGTGGCAAACAAGCATAAGGCCCGTCTGATGGTAAACGGCGTCACCGTAGCCTATAGACGTTTGTAACATTAGGAATGTATTTTGATGGGAAAATGTATTTATTGTGTGACTAAACTTGATTCATATTTAATTTAGTTGATCATTGTAATAAGCTGTTATAATTTCAATTGATTATGTATTATACAATCATTTAGAAGTTTATTTAATATGAAAAATATTGAGTAAAAACTAAGATTATCACGTAATTAATTAAAAATAAACATAAACGGGTACATATTGTAAAATATTATTCTCCATATGAGCATGGTTTGTATGATTCAATACGAGTGAATGGCTGAAGTGATAACACGGACTTTCCTGTTGTTGTGATAAGAGGTAGTAACTACTAACTGGGGGGCCGTATGTTAATATTCTTTAAAAAATATTTTTAATTATTTACTGTATAAATATCTTTCATTTAGTGCAATATACACTAAATGAAAGATATTTATATTAGAATTAATTACATAATAACAAGTCAAGTACTATTGTCGTATTTCAATAAGAGTAGGAGAATTAGATTTTGCTTCACAAAAAAGAAACACCGACTTCAGTTGTGGCAAAATTTAATTAAGCATAATCACAACCATGAACGCAATTATTTGGAACTAGAAACCAAACTAATGAAGTGCATTTTATGAATTTTCTGTGGGATCAATCGGATAGTATGCTCTTTGATTAAAAGAGAAAATACAGTTTCCTTAGTTTTGAGGTAACAAGCATAAAAGCAATATACACCCGAATTTATTACCTTTTCAACTAGCGTAAAAACAAATAGATAATACTCTTGTATTTAATTAGTTTCATAATTATGTAGTAATTGAATATTGACAGTAGCTGATCCGATATACATACATATATATCCTGTCTAAATTCAATTCTTTACTTCCCATAATTACAAACAGGAAAAATCCCAAATCGTTATCGCATTAAGTTTTTATTATATATTAATAGATCTACATATAAAACACCTACTGTTTCTAAATCATATGTGGACGATATGCGTACACAGTTTGAAGGAAAGTCTCGATTTGAAAATGAAAATGGATATGATTATACTAGTTACTTCGAATATTTTGAAAGAATATCAGATGAAATTATGATAAAATGGATATAGTATGCTAAAAAGAAATGAGGAGACATAGACTGAATTACCATGATCATGTAAATTGATATTGAATTGTATGCATGAAAAAAATATGCAAGTCGATGAAGTAAAAGTTGAGTGTAAGGATAGAGACCTATGGTGCTTATCAGTAGTCTTCTTTGCTTACCACGTAAAGTGTTATGATACATATCAAAAATCGTGGAATATTTATGTGAAATGCTATTGTTTTTCATTACAGGAAGACGAAAAGGTTGTTGAGTTGGTAGCCAAATACGGGCCAAAAAAATGGACGCTTATTTCACGGCATCTCAAAGGCAGGATAGGGAAACAATGCAGGTAACTAAATCTAATTTATTGTAACATCATTTTTATTTCATATTAACCGATGTGCTAAACATTGTTTTTGTTCTCTACCGCCTCCTACCAGGTAAATTTTTGATTATTATTATAAAAACCTATCTTTAAAATTGGATAAAAAATACATGTGAATCAGAAAATTCATTGGTTATTTGAATAGATTTTTTTTTGTTTAACTCCGCTACTATTTTTTTTTATGGGTGTAAATGGTATGGTAACCCCGCCTGCGCTAACGGTATACACTTGCGGAGCACCAGTGAAGGGTGATAGATGAGAATGAAAACAGGCCAGTTAGCCCATCATGATGAATTCATCAGGAATTAACAATGATAGTTTCCAGGGAGAAAAGCGAGGAGGTCGACCTGGTTGGGTATATTGCTAGCAATGGGATTCTCAGTCTCCATTACTAACAATCCCTTTCCTCTCACTCCGCTACTATTAGTATCTATGACTGTGCTAACACTCACTACCAGAAGTTTCATAACTTTCCATATTAGCTATCAGTCTCCGACTGTTACTTTGTTCATATACGTTTTGTAACACGTGTTTTACCTCTAAACGAAGCGTCTTCAGGCAAATTATTAGATTGTTGCTCGGAACTTAGTGTTAATTATTCGGCACCCAAACTCGGTGTCGAACGCTTAACAGTGGGACCACACTCCAGTATGCCCAGACCCACGTCAATTAATAAAAATTCTTTTCCTAAATTGGGCTGACTAGAAATCGGCCCCCAGGACCTCAATTATCTTAAAGCAACGAGTCCAACCACAGCGCCACGGAGATCGTTAATAAAATACAAAGGACACATATGCAAAATTTCATGCTTCTGGACTCACTAGTTAGGTTGAACATTCTTTGTTAAGGTTAGAGAGTTTTTTTTTTATTAAGGATCTGGTTTATTTAACATTTTGCTATTAAAATTTCAGGGAGCGCTGGCACAATCATCTAAACCCATCAATAAAGAAAACAGCGTGGACGGAACACGAAGATCGCGTTATATACCAAGCACATAAGCAACTTGGCAACCAGTGGGCTAAGATAGCGAAGCTTCTGCCGGGCAGGTGAGAAGAATTATGGTTACTGGATTATTATTATTTTTTTATTGTAATTTTGTAAAAATAACTTAATCGCGAGTGGTAACAATGGGTCCATGAAACTCCTCATGTTTATAGGCGACGTTTATCGTCTTCTCCTTCACTTCATCCTTTTCAAGAGTAAGTAAGTTTTTGGCGTCGACGTTGAAGCTTGTTTTACCTTTGCACTGATTTTTTAAATGGATGGATGTGATGATTAGTCAATTGATCTGCCGATGAGCATTGCTCAATTCAACTGACTATTTGTATCGACTTCAAAAGCAATAAAGTATATAGCTATATGCTATATTAATAACATACTATATTAATAACATACTATATTAATAACATACTATATTAATAACATACTATATTAATAACATACTATATTAATAACATACCATATAACAGTTCATAGGTTGCTAGACCCTATGATCTGTATGAATTTATGAGCATTCCAAATACTAAAATTCTCTTTTTTCTTTATCTTCATACCTTTTTATATCACTGCCTCAGTAACATGGTATAAGGTTCAGGGTTTAAGTATGTATATATTAGTTTCTTTATCCTACTATAACTACTAAATGACAAAAAGGATTTTTTTTAATGGGTGATAATGAAATGACAACCCCGCCTACATTATTGGTATACGTTGGCGGGGCACCAGTGGGAGATGATAGATTAGGATGAAAGCAGGTTAGTTTGCCCATCGTAATGAGTTCCATAAGAATTAACCATGAACTTGTCAAAGGGGAATCGCGTGGCGGTCGACCTGATAGGGTATATTGCTAGCAACGATTCTGTTAGATCCCATTACTGACAATCCTTTTTCTCCCGACAGAAGGGATTTAGACGTATAAGGTGTTTTTAGAATCCATAGATCATCCCTAATAACACAGGCTATATTTCTTTTTAAATAGTTTTTTTGTCAGGGCAGTCATGTTTTGTTTTTTTTTTATGAACTAAAATGTACTTGTGTACACTTTAGTAATTTTAATACACTTTTTTATTTTACAGGACGGATAATGCAATAAAAAACCACTGGAATTCAACAATGCGAAGGAAATACGACCCAGATTTGCTGGACAGTTTCGAGAGTATACGACGAAAGCAGACGCGGGTAAAGCCTCAAGTGGCCACATTCGATAGTTTTAGTGTATATAGTGAAAGTGCTAAAGTGCCAGAACAAAAAGTGCAAACGCTCTATAACGAAGTTAGTGGTTTGCTTTTTGCTTTTTATGTTTTTTTCCCTCCTTGTTTGTCACTTTGGCTAAGGTATCATTTTTGTGCGGTTATATCGTTACCGTTTCTTCAGGTATTTCGGGTAATTCTAAATTGCTAATCTAAGTGCAGGAATTCATGTATAAATGATTATTTTTTAACTGTACGTTGAAGTTAACGAGTCATTTTATTCTTTTATTTTATTTTCAGTAACCATTAAAATACTAACTACTAATTTAATTATATTAGGCAAAGTGACAAAACGTGTTATGTATTTTAGAAAAATGGTTGGTTTTAATTTTCATATTAATGAATAGAGATATGCCTCATAGTAATATTTTATATTAGTAAATTGAAAAACAGATAACTTAATGAATTATTTATCTTCTAATTTATTTATTCATTAGGATTTATAAATATAAATTTATAAACTCTCACCCATTTTTCTTAAAGTGATTAAGTATGACAAGTAATTTATTATGTTTTACATATGACTACAGTATAGGGTTTTTCAATAAACTTCTGTTTTGCAAAAAAGTGTTGCTGCAGGCATCCATAGGGTAGAGTGACCGTTTAACATCAGACGGGCTGTATGCTTGTTTGCTACCTTTGTGGTATAAAAAAAAATTTAAAATGTTTTTATAAGATATTACTATATTAAATGGATCCTTCTGCTAACGATTTTTAGGTGCTTTACATACATGAAAAAATGTTTTTTAATATTTTACTTGTCATGAATTTATTTTTTCTTTTGCCTTTACCTTTGTTGTTTGGATATTGATATCAGTTGATACTTTATTTTTATATTATTTAAATATATATTTAAGTATTTTATATGTTATAATTAATATTATAAATGCCAAAACTTTGGATTACTCTTTCACGCAAAAACTAGTTAACAGGTTAGAAGGAAATTTGGTACCACGTACTTAACACATGGGGTATACTTTATATACTTATTCACGCGGGCGAAACCATGGGATACAGCTAGTATGTATTAAACATTTACTTGTGTCTCTGCTATCAAGTAGTTGTGCTTGCATAAAGCTATGTTTCGATATGAAGGGTGGCATATGGCTGAAATTACAGAATATGACGATTCAAGAGTGGCTACATATAAGAAACTACTGTGGGCGTTACAGTGCATTCTGTTATGTTTTTTGTTCTTTTCATTTTTATATGTTACCACTTCCCATCAGGTAGACTGTTAGCATGTCGTTTAAATTTGTATTGATCAAATTATAATTTACTATTTGTTATGTTCTAATATTTAACTGATATCAAAATTCATTATGTATTTTTTCTTACTGTAACATACTTTATTCTATAAGGTTCTGTTTATCACCTCTATGGGTTAATATCATGGGCTTTTCCTGATAAGAGTTGCAATAATTATTTTATTATAAATATTAAATTAAATTTATATAAAATACAAGACACCTCATGCTTCGAATCATTCATAATAATGGTTTCTACTATGTCTTTTTGTTTGGGTGTTTGTGTGTATGTATAATTATGATCAATTTCACATTTACTAATATCAAGTAGGTAAATGTACATTGTTGTGATTAACTAGCTAAGTATTTATTAATTGTATTCTGCTATCTGTTCATTTATGTAAAAGTTTATAAAACTGTCTCAGATATTTGTTATCAATCACTTTTAAACAGTTGCACACACACACACAGTTTTTATATAATTAAAGATTGTGTCCCATAAAAAAAAGTCTAATTCAATTATGACGAAATCAGTTATGTCGATCTAAAAACTAAACTACAGAAACGATTTTGATAATATTTCTATGAGACTAATGTGTAAATTTGTAGTAAATCAAAAATGGATTTTTTCAAATCGGTTTAGAACTGACGGAGTTATGAAGTAATACACGTAAAAAGGACAGTACAACCGAATTGAAAATCTTTTGGAAGTCAAATTGAAAATTGGAAAAAGCTTAACATGGTACATTGTTTATGATATAATATGACCTAACTGGACTAAACGATTAAAAAGTTTATTTGTATCGACTAAAATACATGTATGTACTTGACAATAAATTTTTATTGTTATTATTAAATTTTATCTACGGCTTCGTCTGCGTGACTAATATGACATGGGAATAAAAAGTAGCCTACGTTCTTCCCCATCTCAAGTGTATATACCAATTTTACTGCCGATTGGTTGCCGTAAAGCGCCAAGAGGTATATCCTAATTTATTATTATTATTATAATGTAGCCTGTCCTTCTTCATCCCGAATACTATATATACCGAATGTACTGTAAATTAGTCGCTGTAATAGACAAACAAACATACTTTCACATTTATACTATAAATTTGCAATTTTCACAGCTATGGGACGCTATCCACAACGAGTCGACGCAAAGCAACTCGTCCACAACCAGTCAGCCGTCGAAACAGATGTTACATTGCAGACAGCTGTTGAAGAATCAATTGAACAGTTTGCAACAGAAGCCCAAGTCGCCTGAAAGGGAACTAGTGGCGGCCGACATGGAGATTGTTGAATCGCCTTTTAAGTGAGTACTAATAGAAATATTAAACAAGTTTCACAAGTAGATTTTGCTCCACAAATAATCGTCTTATTGCTTTCAGCGTATATCATTATGTGGTATATAGGATAGGAAAATTCTTAGCTTTACCGGTTGTACCGTTAATCACAAGTAAAGCTAAGACTTTGATTGTCTCTACAAGTTATTTATGTGCACTGTATATTACAGGTTTGTGAATATAGATTCGTTACCTTCAAACTCCCCTCTCAAGAACTACTTCACGCCGGCTGCGACCAACGACACTGGCAACCAGGATGCTGGTAATTATACTTTTTTTCTATTTATTATACCAACAGTCATGTATAACATTACACTTTGAAGTTCTAGAACAAAAGAACATCTACTTTTTGCAAAAAATATTTTTGTTTATAATAATTAAAATTAGTTATTTTTGTTAATTTTAAAAGATTAATTTTTCCAAATTGTAAAAAAAATATTATCAAATCGGTATAAAAACGTTGCCAAAAGTATTCTCATTGGTACAACACTAATAGAAACTAAACCTTTTCCATCATTTTACTTTTAATTATTTTTGTTTTTTTTTTTTATCTATGTGGCTATTGATATTTAAATCTCTCATCCTCATACAGTCCCGTATATGGACGGTAAGCATCTTACTAATATAATAAAGTTGGAACTAGACGTCTGTATATTGGAGTTATTTGAGAAAAAAATATGTGAGGGGTCTTGTTTTCCGGAAGGTCTAACTCAAAAACTGATCTAGGTTTTATCTTAATACGTCATCTAGAGATTATGAGAGATATATATTTCCTTCTTTATACTATTATATTATTTTACTGATATTTATATTACTGAGATCAACAATAAAGCGACGATCAACGAAGCGGTTGTAAAGTTAAGCATTATATATTTCTGTTAACATTTTCAGTTGCATACGCAGTACAACCGGAATCTATTAAAGAGGTGGTCGTTCCATCTGTATATACATCGCCCAAGAAGAAACCGTCAGAGAATAGTCCGCCTCCGATACTGCGACGGAAAGCAAAGAAAACACAGGGCACGCCCAACCCTAATGTGAGTTAATGTATTGTATCGATATTCCATTATTTATTACCTACGAAAAAAATGTCCTATAAGCATGACCTTTTTCTATCCAAGAACTCTGTCATATAATCTTTTTATCTTATTTATTTACACTTTATTGCACCATTTATAAAATAGTAAAATACATTTAACTGTAATAAGAAATTATATATATATATATATATATATATATATATATATATATATATATATATATATATATATATATATATATATATATATATATATATATATATATATATATATATATATATATATATATATACATATACATATACACATATACACACACATACAAGCTTAAAAGCACACATACAACAGGAGAGAGTGACACTGAAGTGTCGTATGTATCTTGTCTTTTATGTATCTTGTTTTTTATCCGAAAAGCCATGTTTTTAAATTGTTTCCATAGAAATATTATTAAAACTGGTCTAGTAATATTTTTTAAATTAAAATAAATGGTTCGGCCACAATTGAAGTGAGTATTTTTTTTCATGGGACAAAATCTAAATTTATCCTAAAAAATCAGTTACATTCGTTTTTTTTCTGTTTTGCAATGTTTTAATCATAATATTAACTGCATTGTGAAAATAAAAAGATTGTCCAGATGATTATCATGTTCTAGTGATGTGTTTACTAACATTATTTATTTAGACATATTTGCAGTAAAACTACAAAATTTTAACAGACTTCAAAAAGGAGGTCCTCAATTCGGTTGAATTTTTTTTTTATATTTCAAAATTCAAAATTCAAAAATCATTTATTCATGTAGGACATTTTAGCCGCTTATGAACGTCAAATTTTTACATAATAATTTTATTTTTTTCCCTACCGTCCAGTTCGGTATATAGATCCAATTGAGAAGAACTGGCAAGAAACTCTATTGAATTACTTTTTTTTTAAAGCCAGTTTATTTACAATGTATATTTATATAGGTGTCTATGTCTAACATTAAATGAAAATTCAGTGCATGAACAACTATTGCCATGCACACTCGTCTTTCAAGTAATCGTTTAGTGAGTAATAGGCTTTGCTCAGTAAATATGATTTAACAGATGTTTTGAATTTATTTAAGGGTAATTCCAACATATCCTTTGGTATCTTATTGTAAATTTTTATACCTATTCCCATAAAAGACCTATTAACTTTTTCTAAACGATACTTGGGGACAGCAAGTTTGTCTTTAAATCTAGTATTAATATTATGAATATTGCTGTTTTTTGGAAATAAGTCAAGATTTTTATGAACATATAGGATATTTGAATATATAAATTGAGAAGCAACGGTGAGAATATTTGCCTCTTTAAATTTCTCTCTTAATGAGTCACGACTCTTCATACAGTAGATCGCTCGAACGGCACGTTTTTGTAATATGAATATATTCTTAATATCTGCCGCTTTTCCCCATAGTAATATTCCATAAGAGAGTAAACTATGAAAATAACTAAAATAGACTAATCTAGCAGTATCAGTATCAGTGTACTGTCTAACCTTACGCACGGCAAAAGCTGCTGAACTTAGTTTCGCTGCAAGGCTTTGAATTTGTGCACCCCATTGTGTTTTATTATCTAGTGTGATTCCTAGAAAGACAGTAGATTCTATAAATTCGAGAGATTCGTCATTTAATTTAATATTGCAATTAGTATTAAAACTTTTAGACAGAGAGAAATTAACACATTTGCTACATCATAACCGATTTTGTAGTCTTTTTTTTGTCTGAAAGGTACGGAATCATCCCATAGGTAATAGTTTCATCTTTAAATCAAAATAATCAGATTTGCCGCAACTGAAGTTGGGTTTTGTTGTAGAACGCAATTTTATTTCATTAATATTTAATTTAAAATGAATCTTTTAATTAATTTAATTTTTAAACTGTTTTGTATTTAATATTGAAATGATTATTTATTTATTCACTATTTATTTCTACAATTAATGGATAATACAAAATATATAGATTCATTACATTTATGAAGTACAAAAGGTGGTCTCGTCGCTAAAGCAATCTCTTCCAGACAACCTTTGGATAGAGGAAAAAAGAAAAACACTGCAGCTATTTGGCGTAAGGAGTATATGTAATAAAAAAACGCATATGTTAAAAAAAACAAATTTTTTTTTCGTTGATCGAAAATTGCCTTCTGTTTATTGTGTATATTTATAATTAATTATTAAAATTTCAGGCGTGGGCAGATACGTTAAACAGGATAGAGTCAAGAGAGAGTGGTATAACGCCAATAAAGGCTCTACCGTTTAGTCCGTCGCAGTTCCTTAATTCACCGGCGCCGCTGTCCTTTCAACAGTTCGATTCTACCCCGCTCAGGCAAGCTAAGGTATGTACAAATCTTAGATTATAAAATATATAGATTGGTAATGTGAAAAGGAAATAGAAAAGAATATATACTTTAGAGCGAGATAGACAAGTAGGTTATTCACCTATACCATATAAGCTCGAAGCGGATTTGACGGGAGTATGAACAAAACAAGTTTTAAGCAGTTGTGTTCACATGGCTGTGTTTCGGTTTGAAGGGTGGGATATGGCGTGAATTTACAGGGTACAGAGGAATAACACCTGAGTCCTCAGGAATGGCAACACATAGGGGGTATCATGGGCGAAACAGTATACTCTGTCATGTCCATGGTACTGCTCATGTCTATAGGCGACTGTTACCACTTTCCATCAGGTGGACCGTCAGCTTGTTTGCCATTCTAAGTTGTATAAAAAAATTTAAAAATAAATTTACGTTTTGAAATAAATATGGCTGGTTACAACCCATGTAGATGGCTAATTCGTAAATTGTAACCAAATCTTCCTTGTGGAATTGTTTATGTTTATTTAAAATTGAAATAATCTCATTATTTTCAGGAATGGAGTCAAATGGCAAGTCCCCTTCTGCATACACCAACACCAGCCAACGCCAATCTGACACCTGTTAACACACATCTTCGAAATAATACACCCAAGTAAGCATCTTACTTATATAATACCAGACCAGAGGGAGACTGTATAAAAGTCGTTTGCTTGGGCACCTCTGTCCCATTCGTGTTTCTGCCGTGAAATAGTTATGTTTGCATGTCTATGTTTCGGATTGAAGGGTGAGATATGGCAGTGAATCAACAGGGTACAGAGGAATAACACCCGAGTCCTTAGGAATGGCAACGCATGTGAGGTATCATGGATGAAACATACTCTGTTATGTTCATGGTACTGCTCATAAGCGATGGTTACCACTTTCTATCAGGAGGGCCATCAGTTTATTTGCCTATGTTGCATAAAAATAATAATAATAAAATTGTAACTATATGATGTCTGTACATGGAACATATTAAAAAAATAGTATGAGGGGTCTTAATAAGACTATAATAGATGCCAAAACAATATTTTTTTAGGGATTTTGTCTATTTGCATGTTTGTTCCGGCATCACGCAAAAACTATTATAGCAAATTGGTCGCGGTTTTTACATTTATATTCCTGAATGTCTACCATAAAATCTGGTATATCTTGTTTCTTGATACGCCACCTAGAGTTACTTTTTTTCAAATACGGAATTGAGTGCAAAAGAAAGAGACAAAACAGTTCAATGGCTAAAATAGCTTTATGAGAAGTTTGATGTTTTTATGTATAAGGGAGTTCTTTATTCTTTATTGTACACAAAACATACTGTTAATCACAATTCATTATAAACATAATGTACAAAGGCGAGCTTATTTCTAATAAGAGATTTCTTCCAGCAAAACCTTTTCATGTAGATTGTGTTATTTTAAAAATAATAAGTTATACAACAACTGATCTTGGCACTTTAGCTCATAAAGTTATAATATAGAGAAAAGTTAGCATACTTATTCTTTTGTATAAAATTATCTATATTTTTGTTATACAACTGGCCAAAACCTCTTGATATTTGGGGGAGGAGTCTGGATCAGCATGTATTTATACATAAGATATAGGGAAGGGGGTCTCTTACGAGGACAAGGGCCAGCCATTAACTGTCCACTGTTGAATATAGGTAACCCCCCTTGTTGGGGTTTTGCCAGTAGTTGCCACGGCTGGTTGGCAACTGCAGTTAGGTTTTGGTGATATTTTAGAGAGACGTTTCCGCCCATCTTTTGACCATTAGGCTTAAGGCCCTGGTTTGAAGTTAGATTATGTTATTTCCTTCATGAAATGTAAATGTAAATATTTACATTTTATTGTCTTTAGTCCTTAAATAACAGGAGCTTCTGTACTTTTGTTTTTATACAATTATGATTATTAAATTCGATAAACAAAAAATATATTTTGCTTGTTTACAGAACTCCGACGCCATTCAAAATAGCAATGGCGGAGCTTGGCAAGAAATCTGGTCTTAAGTATGAACCGTCCAGCCCTGGGCGGCTGGTCGAAGACATCACCGAGATGATCAAAAGGGAAGAGAACTCTGATAGCACTGTTCATCTTAATGATTCCATGTTATCGTCTACTGCTGACCAAGATGCTGCCAATGGACAGGTAAATATTATTTTTAAACGACTTCAAGAGATTTTATCTCTTTGTCTATCTGTGTTAGTTTCGGAATCACTAGAAACTTCGTCTGATATAAAATCTGCGGGTAGACCATGAAATGAAATTCCGAAATTTCGGACTTAATTTCGTGTTTTTGTTTATACCAAAATCGGATCAATAAATGAAGTTTAACATTTCGTTTGTCATACATCCTATCATAAAAGTCCAAAGGAACAATATTTTAACATTTTTAATATTTCCACACGACGTATATTATGTAATTTTAACATCAAATTTGTGTTTCATTTGGCTCCGAAATTTCGGAAATCATTTCATGGTAGACCCTCTGATGTATATTTTTATCTTGATACACTATCCAGAAGTGGTGTATTTCCTACTTCTGAAATACACGCGTACGAAATAGCGGGTTAAGTTAGTCGTTTATAACAATTAAATTGGCATTTCAACCAAAACATATAATACAAGTAACAGCTGGTAAAAACACAGATTGTGCCCACAATTATTAGTTTTTTTGGTCTTCATTTAGTTTAGACTATGTTATGCAGTTGAGAAGTTCATTATCAACGTAAATGCATATTATGTTTCTGCATAGAGGATATGACTGAAGAAAATATTACTTTTTAATACTGCTACGGTGGCAAACAAGTATACGACCCACCTGATGGTAAGCGGTCACCGTAGCGTATGATCTGCAATACCAGAGGAATTATGTGCGCGTTGCCGACTCTTAAGAAACCCCTTTTTTTGAAGAAATAATGAAGGAACTGTAAGGTGATATTCGTAAAAGAGTGATTTTGTGTATGACGGCCGATGTAACAAAACATAGTTTTCAATGATAGGATAAAGGCAAAGATTGCCTTGTCTTAATTTTATCATTTGAGATGGATACGTTATGCCCTCTGCCACTGTTTTTTATCTATGTCGGATTTACATCCTGTGCATTTACCGTTGGGCAGGTGAACGACTCCGGCATAGGCAGCAGTAAGCGGCGATGTTCAGATTCATCCCAAGCGGGAAAAGAAAACGTGCCGGGTGCAGGAGGTACTACCGGCGGACATAAGCGGGCACGAAAGGCGCTAGCGCCCGCGTGGGGGTCGGCCGCCACTAGCACGCCGCATTCGCATGCAAATCTGCACGCACACCCGCTAGTACCGGATGTATCTTTCATCAATGAGACGCCGGTTAGTACACATTACTCTTACTAATATTAAAAAAAAAAATTACTGGAAAATGTACATGGAATATATTTAAGACCAAATAATAGAGGTCATAATAAAAGTCAAAACTTTTACAAATGAATTTTTTTATTTATCTGTATGTTAGTTTCAGCGACACTTAAAAATTACTGTACCAAATAAATAAAATTACTTGTTATTAAAACAATTTTATTTATAAGCATTTTTGAATAATATTTTTATGGTATTACATACTAGGTTTAACCCCTGTATATGTTTGCGTAATCTGTATATGTTCACGAACCGGGATAAAAAGTAACTTGTGGTCCTTCTTTCTTCCATAAAGTATGTGTATACCAAATTTCATAAAAATTGATTAAGCCGTTAGGGCGCTGTTAGATAACAAATAAACCCATTTTTACATTTATAATAAGTAATTGAATATTGACAGATTTGAAAACAACTACAAGTTTGTCAGGAGTTCCTCGAGAGGCAGAAGTAAAATTGCAATAAAGAATAAGAACAAAAATTTGTAATACCTACTAGATAATAAAGTATGATTTATATAGAAATAGCAACAATATGCTAATACTAAATTATTTATGATTAAGTATTTGGTATATTTCTAACAATTATTATTTCAATTGTTACAGAGCAAAACATTAGCAGGGGATAGCTCAGTAATGTTCTCTCCGCCGTCCATAGTAAAAAATTCCTTATTAGAAGAATCAACCAGCCTCCACAGTCTAATCAGCACCGACAATACACCGGAAACGAGCAAATACGAAGATATTGATATAGAAGCTGTCATCAGTGAGAAAACAAAGGTACAACACAGGTCCTTACTCCGTACTAATCCTTCACCTAACACCTTTCCTAACGAAATAATCTACCAAGACATATACGAGAACGAACTGCAAAATCCTAACGTTTTCAAAAATATAACCAACACACAATCGCCCAGGAGTTTTGCTAGATTAAACGCGGATAGATTGAGAACTATTACGAGCGCAAACGATATCTCTTGCGATACAAACTTGATAGCGCCTAAAGAAGTATTAGCTAACGCGTTAGCCGACCATATATATAAAGTGACGAGTCAAAAACCCTCTACCTCGCGTATAGACGCAATATTAACTAATAAAATATTAACTAGTAACGTGAGAACAAATGAATATGCGGATAAAGAGAATCAGTGGTGGCAAATGGAGAATAAAGACTCTGGACAGACGGGTGATTTCTTTCCAAATGATTATTATGCGTTTAATAGTAATTACGATTGATTCTTTGACCCACATGTTTGTGGTGAAAGATCATAAGTATCATTGGGCTAAACAGGACTATTAGTGTTACGCTTATTTGAATGGACTGTGAATAATATAAAAGTATTATGCGTGAAAATATTTAAAAAATATATGACGGCCAAAAAACCAGCAATAATAATATATTGCTACATTTAACTAGGTGGGTATTTTGTAGTTTATATTATGCATCTAATATGGCAATTTCGTATTCAAAGAATATAAAAATCAGTACGATATAAAATTGTTGCCAAATAATAATGTAAGTTAATCTAGATTACATCTCGGAAACAAAAATAAGTTACAATTTATTTTAGCATAACTGTAGTTAAATACTTATAAAATCTACTATATCTACCAAAGTTTCTAAAGTGGCAATACTTAGCACTGGACATGGGAGACCCAATTCTCTTTTAAAATAACGATAAAAATGTTTATCAGTAAAATAATTAAATGAAAACTCGTCTTTACATATGTTGTCTTTGTACAACAATTAATATTCAAACTCTACACGTCCAGTATGAAATATTATAAACAATTTACATTATATTTCGTCACTTTATTGTATCAGTATTGTGTACAAGATTTAAAAAAATAAATATTGAATCAGTGTTGTAGTTGAGAGATAATTATTTTAAAGAAATACTAAGTCGGTGTGTAAGTAAATGACACGTGCGACTTAGTAGTACTCTAAAATTTCTAATACAAATAATACAATAATAGAGTCTCTTTTCTTTGATAATTGCATGATTCCATATCATTAATATTTCATGTGTGCAAGCTATATCATACAATACCTTACTAATTGATGTCCATCAGATAAAAAAAATGGTAATTACGATAACGATAAAAAATAAAAAGTAAATTGTTTATAAGAATTTATGCGTGTTTTTAAATTAATTGTATATTTTAATAAAATATTTTTGTTTTATTGTATTAACTATTGGTTTTCGGATTTTAGTGTCCTGTGACATTCCTTATCGTGTCGCTGTAATCAAATGTTTTTAATAATTAAGTGCACCAAACTATTTTTAACGTATAACGAGATTAGCACATAAGTAACCAAAGATGAAATTTTCATCAAATGAATATCGTTGTGAATTAATTAATATATTGATAAAAGTGTTAGGTTTAAATAAAATCTAGACATAGTTTTTAATATAAAAAGTATACCTCAAGTTTACCATGCACCAAATTATTTTAGTGTTACTAGAATTAAAGTACAATCTTTGATTTTTTAAGAATTTCAAGTATTACTTTCTTAAGTGTAAGATTAAAAAAAATACTTTTTTGGTGTAGCAACAAAAAAAAATGTGTAAACACATTAAACATTTTGTAGTATTTAGCAACAAGGCCATATGGACAATAATTCTTAGGCCAAAAAAGAAAAAATAATGACGTAAGATACTAACAATTCCTTGTGTTAGGTCACCTATCCTATCCCTGTATTTATTTATTTAGAATGTCTGTTAATGGTAATATTTGCTTTGTAATTTGCGTTTAAAATATTAACAATTTTAATATCCAATATTTTCTAAAAAAAATTTCTACTATGCTGTCACATTGGTTGTGTATGAATCCTATTTATTTCACGTTTTATTTGTTAAACTTATAACTTTTTTTTATATATATATAAACGGCAGCTATACTTAAGGATACTTTATTTGAAATAAGCAAATGACATTATCCAAAATCACCTTTTGTTCCCACCTTTTGTCGTCCCATTCCTCTCCATTTTCCAGTCCTATCACAATATTGACAGACCAGTGTTGAATCTACATATTTTTGTTTATTTATTTTATGAAGCTTATTTATTATATCTTGTTAAATTGATTGTTTTTTGTTATTATTTATGTTAAATTGTTTTAATTTATTTTGTAGTGGTAGTTTTTATTTTGTATTATGGCAACATTTTGTATTTCGAATTGTGTTTTCTTTTGAAGTAGTCTAATGTCACTGTCAATATTGTTTGTAATCCAATCCACAAAGTCCAAATGATATCCAATGTCATTTTTTATTTCAATAAATGTATTTTATACAGTATAATTTGTTTCGTTTTTTTTTTATGAACCCATGTATGAGTTATTTGACTAGTCAGTCAATTTATTCAATACTAAATTAATACATACTAATATTTTTAACTCTTTTTAGAGTTAAAAATGACTTAGTTGAAAGTAAATGTAAGTTTACATGTAGTGAGTAATTTCTTAGAACTACCTACTGTATAGATTTTAAATTTTAAAAATAACTAATAAAAGCTAAAATATCTGTAAGTAATATAGACTATTTTTCTAATGGGAAATAATAGTAAATAACCACTTAAATTAACCACGTAGAAAATAACCACTTAAAAATCGAATAGTACACACATTGATATGTACAAAAATCCGAGATATAGATATTTACGCACAAAAGTTGTATTAATGAAAAGTACTTAGTTATCGTAGGGCCATATCTATCTAGAATGTCCGAATCTTAAGTGCATATAAGATTTATGGATTTGTTTTAAGTGGATTGTTTCAAGTGGATGAAACAGTGTAATCTCTAGACAACTGATTAAGCACTCTATCGATATATCGATTGAGTATTTAATCGCTACTCGCGTAACATTATCGCTACCACTACCCTCTAATGTATGTTCATTTTGAAATTATCCATACAATAATTTAAAAAGTTTATATTGATGGTAAAATGTTAGGATAGGATGTTGTAATAGACGTTTTTTATTCACCCCAGAAGGTAACAGGAAAAGTCTTTTTTAGGAGATGAAAATGGAACTGTAACCTGGTTCACCCTGTTGGTATATGTTAGAGGGGTATAATAGTAATAAAAGCAGTAATATTGGAAGAAAATGAAGTCAAGCCAATTGGGAAATCATGACTAACCAGGTGCTTGTTTTCATGGTGAATCATGTCGATGTCAACCTGACAGGATATATTGTTAGCAATGGGTCAGCTAGTTCTATTACTAACAATGCCCTCCTCCTTTCATCTAAGGTAGTTATCATATACCAATTTTTATACGTCCACCATTTTAGATTCGCCGTATATCTGGTGAGCCGATAGTTGTGAAGAAATCCGCCGTCAGATCGATCAAGTTTGACCAAGAGCCGAAAGAACAGGAAGAGAAGTCTTCCATAACATCCGTGTTTATGTCGGTTGGTATTTAAATTTATTCAATTCATGGCGCCCTTGGTGGTATAATATAGAGATTTAACACATGTTCCAGTGGCCATGGGTTTGATTCTTGTATAATACAAATTTTTGTATTCACAAGTATACCTGTTTCTATTAGCTTGGGTGTATTCTAATAGTGGTCTAGTACCCATAGTACAACCTATGCTTAGTTTGCTATATGAAGATTTTTTTTATGCAACTTCGAATGGCAAACGAGCCACATGATGAAAAGTGGTAACCGTCGCCTATAGACATGAGTAGTACCGTGCACATAACAGGCACCTAAAATCAACATTAAGGTATCTGAAATATCATTATTTCAGATCATATTTGTACATGATGTGAACATTCGTTCACATGGATACACAATAAAAATGGCTTACTATTCAGTAAGACACCTTTATTCTTTGAAATTTACTGCAGGTTTTTCTGTAGTTTTTATATCTATTTTTTTTATATTTTCGAATTTTTGGTGCAACGTGCAATTTATTGATGAACATTGATTTGTTTTTCAATTGTGAGATTGCTAGCCTATTTAATGACAAAAAAAGAAATGTAGCCCTCACTAAAATATTAACTCAAAATTTTGGAACAATTGAAAGAGCAAAAAGCTCTTTCCTTACGTCTGACACAAACTCATTTTGCTATAATTTTGTATAGTTTGGTATTTTCCTTAGTCTTTTACACATTTAAAGATTTGAGCCCCACGTTTTAAGCTATATAAAGACTGCGCAGTTTGGTACATATGTAAATTCAATGTGTAAGGTTTCTAGCAATGGACGTATGGTATGGCGAAAAAAAGTTAAAAAAGTGTGTCAGTCGACAGTACAAGAAGGGAACGCTTTTATTGATCGTTTTTATCAACGCCACAATCGTTTGCTAAATATTTTGTATTTTTTTAAAGAGTTTGACAGCATCTGGAAACTAGCCCTTTAGAGCTTATCTTATAAACAACTATAGTGTTGCCAGTATAATAAATTTGTTCCAAAATGCTCATTTTCCTTATCTACCCTTGTCTTACTATAATAACATTTTGAAAATTCTAGGATGATGATAAATGGGAGACGTTCGCGTGTGGCAAGACACAAGATCAACTGGACTTAACTATATTAGCGCATCAGTATTTAAGGAAGACAGCGTTAAAACCTAGGTCCCTTAACTTCTAAACTAGAATTCTTCATTGAATCTTCGCATGTTTGAAGTGTGTATCTGTTAGAGATGAGTGATATTGTCAAAATATCAAGATATTGTTAGTTTAATATTGATAAATGAGTTATTATCGTAACTAATTGCACATGTATCGATATTTTGCCTTAAGTATCGATATTGTGATATATTGACGATATACCAGTATTGATATTAGTATATCGATATTTCAGTCCTTAATATTTCGATATTATTCATAAATATTGCTCATCTCTGATATCTAATATAGAATGGAAGCGCAACAATGTTTTGTCAGTTTATTGATATTGAATTTTTTTTGTACATATTATTTATTTAATTGTATTCTAAGTGATGAGCTAATATCAATTATGTAAAAAGTCTTCTGTAGCAATATAAGAGTAGCGTAGCGTCTACATTTTAAATTACGCTTGAAATTTCTTTCTTAATTCGATTCAGTTGTATTAGGCACAATCTCTTCTATCTATAAAAAAAAAAAAACCTCAAACATCTATTATAGCTAAGGAGGTGTTTTGTCTTATTGTATTTGTATTATTATAGTGATAAAACACTTATAGTTAAAATATGTTTCTAGAAGGTTTAATTTTAATTTTAATGAAGAAGTGTGTATGTAGTTTCTTTAATTAGTTTTAATGTAGATCATTTTAATGTATGTTAAAGTACACTTAATTTGCTTCTATATTATGTAATTTATTAGCAATTTTACCTCAACTAAAATATATGTTTGAAAACATGTATGTAGTTATATTTTCTATTATTATGTAAAGATGGAAGTACAGATTAGTAAAGTAAAAAAAAAGCAGTCATGTGACAGATACAGCAACAGTATATTGTTATACCATTTTATTTATATATTATGTTCATATACTCACAATTCTTTAAATAGGCCGTACTTTATTTTATATTTATATTATGTAAATGCAACTGTCAATATTGATTGAATCTTTTTTTTTTGAATAAGGTGTGTGATTATAGTTATAAGTTAGCAATTAATTATTGATATAATATGAATTAAAAAAAAATTAACAAAATAAATATTGTCTTTTAAGTTTTATATTCTTTTGAAATAATATACTTCATATTATATCAATTATTTAAGTAGTTAATAAAAGTAATAAATACGTTTTAAATGTTTTACCTTTTTAATATTTGTGTGAATACAGATTTTAGTAATTTTTGTGGTGGATTAAAATATAGCAAATTATGTAGGTCTCTTCATTATATGTACAATATATGAACCGATTTTGGATATATTTACTTTTGTTTGTGTTGTCGAAATTAATATTTTGTATGTTTCTTTAGTAAAGTTTTCCTTTGGGCACAGTATTTTTTTTTTAATATAATGACAGATATTTACTATTCGACGTTGGCGCTGTACATTTTATGTTTTATAAGAGACGGAAATTGACGTGATAATTTCTTTAATAGCTGAATTGATGGGTAATCACACCTGCGCTGTCGGTATATGCTGGCGGGGCACCAGAGAAAACATAGATATCTAAAAAATACTTCTGCCTCGAAAGCGGAAACATGACAGTGCTACAGCTATCAGTCTCGTGATTACAACCGTTGTAGCTTGGTCGAAATGTCGAAACAATTCAGGTAAATTACCATAGTTTACCTAAATAATCACGTTAATTCCTGTCTCTTATAAAACATAATGAGAGATATAACTAAAATGTTTCTTTTACATCAAGTTAGCTTAAAATTTGTGTATAAAATTTAAATTGTTTTACTTGTTTTTTTTTTTTTTATAATATTTTACTGTCAAATGGATTATATTCGTAGACGAATATCTATTTAGAATGAGAAAAAGTGGTTGTCTTGACACTGATTCAATTAAAAATCATCAAGTATGATGAATGGGATCATATTATAATAGCGCCATCTGTGTTTAGATTTTGTCGGCTGCCATTTAGTGTTAAATTTTTAAATTCTAAATTTATTTACATTAAACAGTCGGAAACAGTAAAAGAATTGTACAGTAAAAACATTTAAAATTATGTCTTTTGTAACATTTTGATTTTATAAATAATTTATTAGAAATATTCGTACAGTCACGTGTAATAATATGTAATAATTTTTATATATCTACAACTTTCTTCAACACAAAAATATACAGCTTAAATTACATGAGGTAATTATTAACAAAACAAACAAAAATACACATGCATTGTATATATTTGTATTATATAATATATTTTAATTTATTTTCATTCATTGTATAACGAGGATTGGTAGTAGAGGGCGATACTGTGTCGCAATTGAAATTAGACAAAAGTTTGGAACATAAAAGCACAAGCATTTACATTTTATTACATATGACTGTACCGAAAATTATTAGAATTAATTTTACTTTAGAAAGCGATAGTACAAATTTAGGAATAGACTTCGCAAATTCGGGTAATGTTACAAAAATATGACATTCGGTAATTTCGTAACTAAATTAAACTATAAATGAAATTAGGGAATTAAATTTAGAATAGAAATAGAGAGACAGGATTATTTGTCTTATAAATGCCGTTGTCTATTTTTGTATTACTAATAAATTGATAAGTGATAAGTTATTATTAAAATGTATAGTATTAAGAATTGGTAGTAATTATCATTGTATTCGGATGGGAGCAAATATTACGAATGATTCTTATTATTTTGTTTTCTTTTTAACAAATAGGCAAAGGTCGTAAACGGTACAGTTTAATCTTATTTATGTCTATACATATATATAAGAGAATTTTTTTGAACTCACTATGTGTGTCGTTACCGACAATTGTTTCGACTTCATTTGGAAATCTTTATAAATTTATTTTTATATTATGTTCCATTTATAATAACTACAAATACAGATGATGTTAAAGTGGTTAGCGTCCCTTTAAGAGTCTGTTCTATCAGAGAATTTAAACATTTTCATTAAAGAAATATGCGTTGAAAAATAATAAAAAAAAATTTTGTGTCCCATATTTTAGTATCATCATCATATCAGCCGTTAACTGTCAATTGTCCACTGCTGGACATAGGCCTCCTCCATAAGGGATGTTATGCCAATATTTGCCACGTTTGGCAGACGTATTAGTAACCATTAGTTCTTGGTGATTTGTTTAAAAGGGACTTTGCTACTCGTTCCTCGACCCTCGGCCCTTGCCATGCCTGGATTAAATTGTGAAGTTAGAATCCTATATGAACCATTTTTATGTCGTGATCCAATAAGCTAAAAAAGTTAAGTAAAACATCTTGCGACTGAATTTACTAATTAATAATCGATCAGAATAATCAAAAAGTTCTTTCCCTGTATTTACTACTACCACACTACTATCTTAACAATAGGTGACAGTAACAAGTGACGATCAAACGGTACGTTACGTTAGACGCATCTTTCGAGGGCTTATTTTTCAATAGACTGCGAACCGCTTCAATGAGAAACGCGAACCCCCCCCCCCCCCCCCCCCCACGATTGAGAACTATAGGAGTGGTGGCCAATTTGACTTGGCCCAAGATCTACTGTTTATTGACGAAACTCTGTGCGATCTACAAACTACATACTTCTTGAAATCACAAATGAAACAATATAGTTTCAGTACACAGTTATGTAGTATTGTAGTATTTGTTTATTTTATTAAGAGGGAAAACATAAAGCTGAAAATTATTTTTAGTAAATTCTTATTTATATTAGTGTGAGCATTGTTTCTGAGCGTCTTTCGCTAGATTAGCAAAATGTTATATTTTTGCCTTGCCACGTTCGACTGGACTATTAGTCGTCACGATCTTGCCACAATCGACCCCTGCTTTATAGAGATCCCTATTTTTATCTCACTGCTAACAACTTTGACTTCACCCTGTGAATTTTTAAATATTTCATTTTGCAATAGTTAGACAGTGTTGTTTATTTAAATCGTGTTTGTAGAAATATAAATAGAAAAAAAAGTTTTGCTACATTAATAACTTTAAGAAAAATTATGTAACGCTTATTAATTTTGTAGATAAATTTAATATAAGCGAAGAAATATTTATATAGCGTTCTATTATGTTAACTATAAATAACTTTATTTTGCGTTTTACTTTGTATTGTCTATTCTGTATTTTTTATTTAGTTCACTGTAAATTATGGTATTGAATTTTGTATCTTAATAGTGCGTGTATTCTTTTTCTATATTTTATGTAATTATGTCGGATAGAGATAAATTTATAAGTTGATGTAAGTGATTCAAAAGAAATAGAAGTATGAATAAATATTTTTTTCAAGGAAGTAACAACTTAGCTTCTCGAAATAAATGGCAAAGGTATCTATCGATAGATATGTCATCGCTACCGCATGCTTGAGATAGAACGAGACATCATTATTCCGTGTCTTTTTTCCTCCTGTGCACACGAGAACCGAAATTTATTCATCGATAGACTTGACTACCGTTTCTCTATGGGGCAGTTTATAATATTGTTCAAAAGAGAAAAATAATTGTTTATAGTAACTATGAGACATACATACATACATTGTATGTGAGTTTGAGTGTTTTAAAGTGGCAATAATTATCATCGCTCTTATTTGTAAAAAAATAAACTTTTCATAAACTCATATTCATTTATTTTTATAAACTTATATTTTAGATATTTAATTTTTTTTGAGCCAATTTTTTAGTTTGTCATAAAGAACATTACATTGGTTAAAATAGGTTTGAGGGAGATTAAGTTTTATGAATGAGGTACTTAGGATTCTTTTGGCGCAGTGGCAGCAATTTTGATGTACCTAATTGAAACCTTCAAACTATTTACTACTCGAACTAATACTATCTAATATATATAATATACTAACTAATCGAAAATTCAATATGAGTTCAATTCACGCTGATTTATTTTGTTATTGATAAATCTCTTTGTTCATATGTTTCATTCTTGTGTCTCTCAGCAATTGATATAAATGCAACGATTAATTACCCAAATTATTCTGTTTAATCATATTTTCGACATGATTACATGAAATATATTAGAGGGCGCCACCGCTCTATCAAACGTATGTTTCGTTTTAACAATAGTTATGTTATTTTAAATTTTGACTGGAAATTGCATTTTAAGTTGTCTGCCTTCGCCATTACTATGGTATTATGGTGTTTTATACAAAGACTAAGGAAGATTGTTTAGTTGTTATTGTTTAGTTTAGTGCCCATTGTACATATTTAATATTAAGAAGTTTTCAGTAAGATGGAAATAAAGAAATAAAAATAAATATATATATAGGATTTATTTATTTAGTTATGTACCTATCCTCTTTGATTAGTTAAAAAAAAGTTATATCAATTTTAGAACATTTTTATCCTTAAGACGTTCTAAAAGGAACTTTAAGAAAAAAAGTACAATACATAAAAATATTGAAGTTTTAAAAAAAATCTCAATAATTTAAGAATAAAATTCCAGTAATATTTCAAATATATTTTATTTTACTTATTTATTTATTTTTATATACAACATTTATTTACAAATGACATGTAATGTAGTATTTTAATTAGAATGTCTATATATATTTAAGTATTAATTAAACTTAAGTAATACCTTATTCAAGAAGATTAGTATCTTTTATACAGTTAATACGTATCTTTCATAATTTTTAATTCTAAAATGCATTCTTAATACAAATGTAAACTTGTCTTTTTACATATGCACTAAGCACAGATTTCAAAATACGTTGTTAGAACTCGTAATAAAAATATAAAAACACCTACTCACATGTCAGTTGACTTAAAAAATCTATCAAACGTCAAAAATAAAAAGAAATATCGACTTAGAAGCGGTAAGTGTATCCCAATCTACCGCCATAGTCCTGCATACGTCCGATACGATCGTAGGTGCCTTGTGCAGATATTTCGCCATTTCTGCCGACTGGCCATCTCCCGCCAGCGGCGGCTTGAATCTGCAAAATGAAAAAAAAAATTATTTAATTTTTATTTAAGAATCAAATATGGAAAATAAGTGGACTTAATACTATAGACATTCTTTCCCAATCAACCTTTATGAACTTTTTGACCTTTCATGCCAAGTCTCTTGTAGATTAGGCAGGGAAAAGAGTGTCAAAGGTCTATATCCTTACATCGCCTTAATGGTTTAACCAATTACTGAAATTTGTTATACACTCAGGCTACTTTCTATCCCGTTCAGTAAACATCACGCGGGCGAAGCCGCTGGTAACAGTTAGTCTGTTATAAAATGTACGTGCATGACTGCACTTCATCATCATCATATCAGCCTATAACTGTCCACTGATGAACATAAGCCTCCGCCTTGAGGGGTTTGCCAGCAGTTGCCAAGTCTGGCAGGCGGATTGGCAACCGCAGTTAGTCTTTGAAGATGTTTTAAGAGGGACGCTGCTGCCCATCCCTCGTCCTTCCTTGTTCGCCTCTTACGACACCCATGGGAAAGGTGACCTATTTTATGCCGGGACCACACGGCATGACTGCATCTACTACTGAATAAGGGAGTTTTTGTATGTATCAAGATAATTACATATAAGTATTATTATTACTTATTTCCGAATTTTGAATGAAGAATGAAGTATCTGCTGCATAATTTGTCATACAACTTTGAACCTAATGTCTAAAACATCAGTTTGATATTAGATTTTCATTATGATAAAAGTAAAAACTCACCGCTGTAGGACCGTGCATCTGCTTGCTAACGTCTAGTGAAGCGGAAGTGTGTTTGCTTGCCCAGTCGACGCGCCCGCCGAGGTGATTGCTGTTCCCATACGGGCTCAACACCCGACTACCGTACGCCGTGCCTGTTAGTTTACCGCGGTTGTCGTTGATGAAGTTATGCTGATATCCGAGCTTACCCTGATAAGATTAATACTTAATTTACTAACTTTTTTAACTTCATTCATCGAAAGAGAGACTGTACAAAAGTTTCTTTTTTAATGAGTGAAAATGGAATGGTAACTGCGCCTGCGCTATCGGTATACGCTGGTGGGGTACCATTGATAGATGACAGGTGAAGATGAAGATAGATCAGTTGGCTCATCGTGAAGAATTCTACAAGAATATTGCTAGAAATTCGCCTTGTATACCCCGGCATGGAATGTGCCATCCCTTCCTTTTTCGTAAGTGTCGTGAAAGGTGACTAATGGAGGACGAGGGATGAGCAGCAGCGTCCCTCTTAAAACATCTTTAAAAGCCTAACTGTCAATCCGCCTGCCAAGCGTTGCAACTACTGGCAAAACTTATGGGGAAGGTTTGTGTTTAGCTGTGGACAGTTAACGGCTGAAATAATTGCTAGAAATGGAGCTGTTAGAACCTATTTCTAATAATTCCTTTCCCCTCTACTGTATAAAAGTTGTCTGCATGGAAACACGAGTGGAACAGAGCCACTCGTGTTTCAACCGTAATGCATCGGTACTTGCATGGTTGCGTTTGATGAAAGGTGAGATATGGAAATAAAATTGCGGGGTGCGGAGGCATAATTTCATAATCCGGGGAAAAAGAGATTACTAGTAATAAGCATTAGCAATCCCATTGCTAGCAATATACTCTTTCAGGTTGATTTCCAGGCGATTCTTCCGGAAATCGTCATGGTTCATTTATTGTTAAATTTGTCATGATAGGTCAACCGAACTGCTGCTTCTTCATCTATCTTTTACTGGTGCTTCGTCAGTATATACCGATAACGTAGGCAATGTTACCATTCCTTTATTGTCCATTAAAAAGAAATAATAGCCCTCAGGAAAAGTAACGTATGACGTATCATAAATATCTGAGTGTATTCTGTAATGTATAATAGTATGAATAAATATACTATCTACTCACGAAAGCAGATTCGCCCCTCGAACCCAAGGTGCCAAAGACTTTATCATTAGGAGAGCCGTGTGCCAACGTTACATCGCCATTCTTATTAACAGATAGTTGTCGACGAAGTCTTAAATGTTCATTTTGAGATCGAGATATATACCAGTCAGGATATCTGAAAATTAAAGACACAATTATATTCTTCCTCTGTCTTCACATCAGTTTCCTTACGGGACAGAACTAAGGGCTCTAGACTTCTGTCCTTTTATATCTGATATTTAATGGAAATATTTTTAGGTTTTGGTATGCTCATCAATACGTTCATTAAAAAAAAAGAAATGAGTAATATGCTTACGACTATAATTCCTGATGGGACAATCAAAGGGATTATCCAATTGCTGCCCTTGTGATATATCGTTGAGCTTATTTGAATCCTATGTCTATTATGTAGGATTCAAATATGCGGTGCGTCAGTCTACCAACAATTCTTGAATTGCCAAGGGTCGATAATGACTTTTTTTTATTAGTGGTGGTTTAATTGGACATCTAAATTAACACAAACTTTTCAGCTTTTGTCAGATTCAAACTCACTACTTTTTATTAATCGGAGTAGTAAATCACTAGACATGACTGTCTTCTAGAATTTAACGAGGCTAATTTTACACCAGTTGTCTCAAGCCTCTTTCAGTTAATGATTTTAGGACTGCTTTTGTTATTATCTAATTAAAAAAAAATCCTATTAAAATAAATATACTCGTATATTCGTTGATAATATACCTGTCGACCATAATGTATGGCTGAATATATTCTTGCGCTGCAACAGCCACCAGAATGCCAGCAAAAATGTACAGGGACTGCATCTTTTCTGTGAAATGAGAATACTAAGCCTTGGTAAATCCGCTTACGTCTGGGTATGCGAATTCGAGGTTAATCATGATTATGATTCCGCAGCTATTTTCCTCAACGTAATGATGCAAATATCAGCATATATCCTCCTATCAGCTTAAAAGATCTATTTATAAATTCATCTCAAACATAACGTGGTAGGCAGAGTATTTATTTAGTCACCAGTCAAATTTTTTTATAATACGTAACATTTTTTTATACCACTAAGGTGAAAAACAAACGTATGCCTGATGGTAAGCAGTTATCGTAGCTAATGAACGCCTGCAATATAAGGATCATTACGCGCAAATTGCCGACTCTGAAGAAACCTCTTTACCCATTTTTTTTAAGAATGCTGTAGTCTCTTGGGAAACTTCGACAGGGAACTCATTCTATAACCTGAGCGATGGCGAGACGTTCCATGGTAGAAAGTGGCCGTGGTCATCATATTGAATAATTCCTCTGAGCACAGTCCGTTGTACTTCGACTTGTCGGAAGGCATTTTTTTTAACTTAAGTATTAATAATTCGCTTTTAACTGTCATTAGGAATGGGGTAGACAGTGGGGGGGGGGGGAGGAAAGGGATTGTTAGTAGTGGAGACTGAGAATCCCATTGCTAGCAATATACCCAACCAGGTCGACCTCCTCGCGGTTCTCCCTGGAAACTATCATGGTTAATTCCTGATGATGATTCATCATGATGGGATAACTGGCCTGTTTTCATTCTCATCTATCACCCTTCACTGGTGCTCCGCCAGCGTATCCCGTTAGCGCAGGCGGGGTTACCATACCATTTTCACCCATAAAAAAAATGAGGTAGACAGAGGCAATTAAGATAAATTTTTAGTTTAGGAATACCATAATGGTAACATGGATTTTAGATTGACTTATTCATCGGAATAAAATAAATAGATCAAGTTCAATACTCACCAATTTGTGTGGTACTCTGACAATAAACTCACGAGACTGTTGCATTTCTGACTTTCATGGCCTATTTTATACGAAACAAAATCAGAGATACTGGTGGATACTCCAGGACCAGGGATCTTACAGTGCAAAAGGACCAAGTAATTCCCCTTTACGTGCAGTATCAATAAAATGGCAATAATGTCTCTGAGGTCGAGGTCGAAGAGGTTATCAGTGTAACGCGGGGAATTAATCCGTAAGTTGTTAGATAAGAAATTAATTGAATCATTGTGCACAGTTCGTCGAGTTCATTTTGTAGGTTAGGTATTAAAAAGCTGTTATATATTGTTACATAAAATTAACAAAATCCTTTAATCATGGTACAATTAGTTATTATGATTAAAAAAACTAAACTACTGAAAGCTATTTATATAAAATTTTAACTGAATTTTATATACTTTCAGATTTTTTTTTATACAACTTAGAATGGCAAACAAGCTGACGGCCCACCTGATGGAAAGTGGTAACCGTCGCCTATAGACATGAGCAGTACCATGGACGTAAAAGAGTATACTGTTTCGCCCATGATACCCCCTATGCGTTGCCATTCCTGAGGACTCAGATGTTATTCCTCTGTACCCAGTAAATACACGCCTTTCAGATAAATAAAGAATTTTCCAAATCGGTTTATAAATGACGGAGTTTTGAGAATTCTCTGAATCATTCTGAATCATATCTGAATTCATCTGAATTTATAACCTCCTCCTTTTTTCACGCTCGGTTTAAAATTCTGATGTCATAAAGTTAATAAAGAAATGGGTATCTTATTTTTGTATGAGCACAATGATTGATTGGATATCGAGAAAGTCGACTTAAAACACTGGCATACATCAATCGATCATTCATTTATATTTTAATAAATATATGGTTTATGATATTACAAAGTCGATATTACAGCTAGCTTTTATCCGCGACTTTGTCTTCGTGACCGGTATATGTCATGATCATCTCCATAGACTGCTATAAGGTCTCTCTGTGTGTGTGTGTGATTATTGAACACATAAAGATAATTTGTCTTTTATTTTTAAAATAATGCAGAAACGGTAGGTACATTACCAAAATTAGAAAGCAATTGTAAGTATTATATAAATATATTATATTGTAAGTACATTTTATTTTATAGATAAATATATATGTTTTTACAAGTGCCATAGACAAAAACTTTGAGATTAAGAAAAAATTTGGTTTATTTTGTTTTTTATCTCTTTCTATTCGAAGTGACTTTATGGATAAAATAGGAAGAGACGAAAGACTATTATTTTTAAGAACACTTACTTCCTGTAATGCATTTGAGGTCGTCACTTTATCTAGTGGGGGGTCGTCTTAAACTGCGTTTGCCCGTACGGGGTTGATTAATTGGAATAAGTAGTCCCTATGCCCTTCTTCATCGCAAATGGTACGTGTATACAAAATTTTATGTAATAAAGAAATAAACGCATTTTCATATTTTTAATTAGTAGGATATTAGAAAAGATAAGCCAATTTGTCCTTTAAGTAATCGTTTAGTGTGTAATAGACTTTGTGTATAAATAATAAGTGTTTTTTTAAGAACAGTTCTAAACTTATTAAAAGGCATATCCAAAATACCCTTTGATATCTTACTATATCATTTAATTCATTCGTACATTCCCAAACATATTATTTTTTTCTAAATGATACTTTGGAACAAAAGACGTGTACATAGATTGTGCTATTGTATTTATTTATTTATTCATTAATTCATATATGTGTACATGGCGGACTTAATGTTAAAAGCATTCTCTCCCAGTCAACCATAGGGAAGTGTCAGAATACTCGAATGCGGTACTAGTAATTATTGATATACAATATATAATAAATATATATATATAACAAATATACTTACACATATATGACATATACGATATTATACACGAAATTGAGAATAATACGGTACTTACTGCGCGGATAAAGTAAAAAAGTTCTACTCATGTTTCTGCAATGAATCTCTGTTTTTGAGTGGTTGTGTATTTCGGCTGGTATGTATCAGTGTAATTACAGGTGTTGGAGGCCTAACACCATAGCCCATCAAGAAGCAACGGATGAAGAGCACTATCGGCGTCACAGTGTATTCTGTGACTTCTATGGAACTGTTTATGTTTATTTCATGCAGGCAATGTTCCAACAGTCGGGCCATTAAGCTTAATGTTAGCCATTAATCTAAATATATTTAATTGGTAGCAGCATCCCTCTTAAAAAATCATTAAAGCCTAACTGCGATTGCCAAGCTGCATGCCAAGCGTAGTAATTACTGGTAAAAGGGGGGAAAGGGATTGTTAGTAATGAGATTTAACAGCCCCATTGCTAGCAATACACCCTACCAGGTCGACCTCCACGCGGTTCTCCCTGGAAACCATAGTGGTTAATTCTTGTTCAATTGGTCACTATGGGCCAACTGACCTGCCTTCATCCTCACCTGTCACCCTACACTGGTACCCCGTCAGCGTATTCGGTATACGCTATAGTGCAGACGGGGTTACCGTTCCATCTTTACTCATTAAAAAAAAAATTACTGGTAAAATTCAATAAGGAAGGCCTATGTTCAGGGGATAATTGACGGTGGATATGATGGTGATAATATTTATACATTGTAATTTTATTTTATCATATATTGATTTTTGACACAACGATGACATTTCTCACCATAGAATAGAAGCAAACATGGTTGATTAGTGGAGAATTCTAATTGCATTAAGTTAATTTTTTTTATACAATTTAGAATGGCAAATAAGCTGATGGGCCACCTGATGGAAAGTTGTAACCGTCGCCTATAGACATGAGCAGTACCATGGACATAACAGAGTATACTGTTTCGCCCATGACACCCCCATGCGTTGCCATTCCTGAGGACTCAGGTGTTATTCCTCTGTACCCAGTAAATTCACGCCATATCCCACCCTTCAAACCGAAACACAGCCATGCAAACACAACTGCTTCACGGTTGAAACACGGGACAGAGGTACCCAAGCAATCGACTTTTGTACAAAGTCTCCCTCTAGGAGACTATATTTTCATTTAAAACAGTTATTTTATACGATATAGTTTTTTACAACACACGGGGCAAACAAGTATGCGGATCACCTGATGGTAACTGATTACCGCCGCCCATGGGCACCCGCAACATTGGAAGAATTTCATTTATGTTTTTGGCCTTTTTAAAAGGACTTGATTGGTTATAAAATGACAACAGATGGTTATAGGATCGAGTATAGGATTCCTATACGACGGACGATAGTGGAAGAAATGAACATCTCATGGTCTACCTTTACATAATGGTTTTGCTACTGTAGTTATCATCAGAAACTGACACATCTTGCGAAATTGCCTTCTGGCGCAAACCAAAACCTATTAGCATGACAGAATTAAATTGTCTGTATAATTACGTGGATTTAGTGACGACAAAACAGCGGATAATTTAGTGATTAGTATTAGCTAATGTAGTGTATTGTAAAATCTATATTGTATATCCTTTACATTGGATACATTAAAAGTATTTGTCATCCCCGGTGAGCACACAATATTGGAGGAGTTGCATTTGTGCTGCCGGCCTTTTTAAAATGAATATGGGACATAACCTTCAAAAGGGCTCGATTGGTTATAAAATGGCAACAGATGGTTATAAAATTGAGTATAGGATTTCTATACGATGGCGGTGGAAGAAATGAGCCAACATCTCACGGACTACCTTCATGTAATGGTTTAGTTACTCTAGATGTCATCAGAAACTGACACATCTTGCGAAATTGCCTTCTGGCGCAAACGAAAACCTATTAGCATGACACAGAATTAAATTGTCGGTATAATTACGTGCATTTAGTGACGACAAAACAGCGGATAATTTAGCGATTAGCTAGGATTATCATATCAGCCGTTAACTATTTGCTAATGAACATAGGCCTATTTTTGTTACTAGCCTATACTAATAATATTAGAAATTGGAAACTCATCTAGCTATCTAGATGAGTTTCCAATTTCCAAAATTCCGTCTAAAAACGCATAGGGTTCCTGGTATTTTCACGTGTTTCATGAAACGATCATGCTGTTTAATGGTTTTGTTGCCAGATAAGGCAGTCTATTGTTTTGATTAATGATATTCACCCATATTTCGATAAACTTCTACCCAAAAAAAAAACCTACACATTATTTGTACTGACAGGCAACCACAGCTCATGTTTGGATCATTTAAAAATGATTATTTTTCTAATACGATATCAGATCCCATTTTGGAAGCGTAGACTCGGATCCTATAGACTGTGCCATATCAAGTTATTCGAAATAGGGGTACGTGAATCAATCAATAGCTTGAAACAGCGACTCATTTATTACTAGGGTTGACCTTCATAATATTGTCATATATCTACATGCACTATTATTAATAATACATATATCTGTCACGTCTGTCTTCCATTAGGGTAGCCAGAAATAATGGAATACTAAATACTTCGATTCAAACAAACCTCTTTCGCTTCCTCTACATTCATCAATCTTTACATAGACGCTCGCCGGTTACGAGTACTTTTAATTTAGCCCTTCTTTAGCACGTCGCTTATTTGGTTGTCTAGGGCGGCCCCTACTGATTCCTGCTCATTTGACAATTGTCATATGTTACAATGAGCACTTAAAGCCGTTATCCGGTAAGCAATATTTCTGAGATGCTTTGGCCTGGCGTTTGGCTTTCTTGTAAAACAAAGTTGCACTAATAACTTTTGTCACAAGATGGCGACACCCTTATGTGAGTGCTGAAATGCAAGCGAAGTTTCCGCTCAATAGAAGAACCATAGTCGTATCCGAACATCCTGAAGTTAATTTACCTAGACAAAATTGGACTGTTTGAGAATAGTTATTGGGCTTAAAACTGATTACCCTATAAACCAGCTTGGCTCGAATAGTTGTAAATTGGAATACCGCTGTGGCAATTAAGATTGCATGTCACTGCCTGAATTTAGTTTAAGTCTGGCGTAATTTATCGCTTGGGTGGCTTCACCGATACGTATCTTGTTTAGGAACTGTTCCAATCTCTTGTTGTAGTTTTTCCTTTAAACTGCTGAATTGGGATGCGTGAAATTGTGAATGAACTCTCTATTCAGGAGATACGAAACTCATACAACATATTTTTTATTTTATAGCATGAAGGTGGCAAATAAGCATACAGCCTGTCTGATGTTAAATGGTCACTGTAGCCTATGGACGCCTGCAACACTGGGAGTGTCATGTGTGCGTTGTCAACCCTGAAGAAACTTTAATACACACAAATTTTGAAACTCTTCATGTTGTAAGTTTTAGGAAAAACCTCGGCAGAGAGCTCATTCCACAGCTTGAGTGTTTACGGGGAAACATACATAAAATCATATTGTACGCGACCATTTTAGTTCTAGCATGTGAGGGTGAAATCCCTCTCGATGGCGAGCAGTGCAATAATAGAAGGTGGTTGTCGACATCATTTCCTAATAATTCCTTAGAATACAATTCATTATACGAGCGGTAAAACACATAAAGGGAGGCAAATTCTCGCTTTAGGTGTTAATTTATTAATTTTTATGCAAGTATAAATGAAGCTGACGGTACATTTGATGTAAAGTGGTAACTGTCACCTATATAGATATAACTTCACCATGAACAATGGAAGCTGTTATGTTACCGTTTTTGAAGGTTAAGATACTAAATATACCTTTATATCCAGTATTATCTAGTAATTTCACTACTTTATTATTATCACACCCTTTAAACTGAAATAAAAATCAATGTTCTATATATGTATATCAGACTATGTACACTATTCTATAGGGCTAAATAAAATTTAGTATGCAGTGTATACGGCATTACAGTAGGAAATCAAAATCGATTCATAAAACATAAAAGCTTAATTAAAAGTAACAAAATTTAATATAAGTCTGTGACTTGGTAACAATGTTCCTTTAGTGTATTCCAATTTGGTTATCCAAGAAGTATACAGGTACCTATAATAACCGTTTTCCGCTCAACTCAGTAGTTCGGAATACGTCAGAGGGTAATACCGATAGAAGATATTACAGTAAAGCCTGTATTTCTCAGCTGAGCTTGCACTAAATTAATTTCTTATCTTATTTATATTTTTAGCTTTTTATTCATTGTTACCAAGTGCTTAAACCATTACCTTTAGATATCTTTCGTCTCATCTGTTTTCGCAATAACATATCGCACGCTTAATAATAAATAGAAATAACTCAAAAATTGGGAAAATCTAGTTTTTGTCATAAAACATAATAATAATGCGAAAAGAATAGGTAGAGTTCGACAGCCTTTCAATTTTCATGAATAAGACGGAGATAAAAGATCGATCGCCTCTTTCATTCCAAACGGGTTGGCAATGTTGTCTGTCAAAAAGCGATGCATTTAGTGATGAATCAATCTTGGTAAAAAGTAGACGTACGTTTTTGTGGCGTAAAGTAGAATATTGCTGTTTACAATTAAAACGTGAGTATATTATTCATATTTTTTTAATAATAAAATGCAATATTTCAATTTAATTCTATTTAATATTTAAAATTGTGGTATTGTCAAATGCATAATCTGTACTTATTTCAGTTTAGTTTTAAATTGTTTCAGTGGTTTAAGAAGTAACTTGAGTTATTTCAGTTTATTTTTAAAATTCTATCGCATTTTTTGTAACATTAAAACCTATTTCAGTTTATTATCAAAATGTGGTAAGAGTTGGGTTAAATTTTTGTTTTTATCTCAGTTTATTATTAATAGCAAAATAAATTTAATTGATGTTATTGTAAGTTATTGCTTTTTCTGATTATCTAGGCTCTGCGACTATGCGAAAATGTTTTCAAGAGGCCGAAAGATTTTAGGTCTACTAAATATCCCAGCAATCGAAAATGAGGGAGAATTAGTGTCAAGTGTTGGACATTGATTCAGATTTATTGGTAAGGCACTTACTGTGTCCTTCTTTATTACTATTTGCAAACATAGGTAAGCGCAAACCTAATCAACGGTTGTTTCAGAATTCACAAGATCAAGATAATACCTCGTTAAACATAGAAAATATTAATCATTCGAACGAAAACTTTAGTACTATGTTACATTTTCAATTATTATTTTAATTAGTTTCACAAGTTTGTATGAAAACAAAGGAGATCCGTTTTAATGATTATTTACTTTTTACAAAAACCAATTTCGATTGAAATTAAGAGCAATATTAGTACCAAATATGACCAGCCTCTTTCTATAACAAAAAGTCAAAAATGTTTTCCTTTGAACCTTGTACCTGATTATGATAATCAGTCGTGCATAGAAGACGAGAAGACAGTCGCAAATACTGCGCGTCGTTCATCTACCAGTTTGATTTCTTCTTCAAATTTGTTTGGATCCTCTTCAAATTCAGACAGTTCAACGTCATCCAACAAATCTGGACGAACAGAAGGAAGTTCTGTTTATTTCCAAGTACTTTGACCTAACCAGATTGCGAATGTTTCTTCTGTAGAATCGAGCCAAGACGACATTATTGAGAATACGCCGATGACAGATCAGTTAAAATACAGCAGAGACAAAGTAATTTTCAGTTTATTTTCGACTTATTTATCTTTTATTATATTTCTCTAAGTTTTTTTATTTATTTGCCCTTTCATTTCTTTGCAGCTACAACTTGCAATTAATTCTGCCTTACATAAGCGTAGATGCTGCCTTAATAACAATTTGGGGACAATATCTCCAATATACACTGATGAGAGTGATGTAGATGACGATGTCGCAGATCCAACATTTGTTTCCGAAGATCAACTTACTGAAAGCTGTAGAAGGAGGTTTAAATTAGTCCCGGCAACCTCTAGTTCTTCAGATTCCGAGCCTGAAGTTGAGATTGAGCAAAAAGGTCGTAAACGAACCCAGTGTCTACAAAAATGGAAACAAAATAAGGCAAAACAATTGAGAAATCTTGGAGAAAAATATGTATCCCTTTCTAAAACTAAAAAGACGATGCCAAGCCGTTGTCTTAAAATACCATGTGAAGAGAAATGCCACTTAAAATGTTTTCAAAATATTAGCACTGAGGAAAGATATAAGATATTTCGTAATTTCTGGAAATTAGGTGATTTAGGTGAGCAAAGAGCTTTTATCAATTAGTCTATGGTTGACCTGATGCCCAAGTATGCAGAAATGCATAAAATGAATAAACACAGCAGAAAAGCCAAGAGCTTCAAACAAGGCCTACTACTTAACCTCAAACGAATGTCAGGATTAGAGTCTGCAAATTATTTTTCAAAAGCACTCTAGATGTGACTGACCGCATGATACATACAATCCAACATAAAAAAGATAGTACTGGAATAGTGCAAGGAGACCTTCGAGGAAAGCATGGGAACCACAGGCAATTGAATAAGGAATTATAGTAATATAAGGAAGCATATAGATTCCATTCCTCGGATTGAGCCGCATTATGTTCTTCAAGGCAGTATATTGACACAATTTTAATGTCAATACAGGAAGAGTATCAGTAAACTGGAATGACATAAAACAGATAAAAGTTTCTAAGGAGAATCCATTTACAACTTACTACAAAACATCTTACGAACAAAAGACCTGTCAGGAAATCGATATAAGGAACAAACGAAAGAAGATGCCACCCATTAATTTAATCTCTCTTGAAAAAGCATATACTGAAAAGCAAGAGTTAAGTGATAATAAGAAGAAAGACTTACGGGAACTTCTCAATAAAGGTCTTATTCCTCCATATTATTATCAAAACTTCAACAATACTACTTTGTCTGATTAAGTTAAAACCTATACTAATTTTTCACAGTGATTTTATATTATTAAGTACTACGATATAAAAGGGATTTTTTTTTTAAGTTTTTGATTATTAGAGATTTTTATTTTTTTGTTTGTTTTAGAAGTCGATTTTGTTTTAAGCTCTAGATCTCAATTATTCCAAAGTATAGGTTAAATAACAAGTACCTTAGTACGTTATTTGTGTAGTCCTAATTTCACTAAGGCTCATTTTATTTGATTTATTGAACATGATGATGATTATTATATTTAAGTATTAAGATTAACGTGATGATTTCTACCTTACTCAATGTGTATTAAACAAGGCTGTTTTAGTTTATGCTAGAAGTTCCTACTTATGTTATTTTCATATTTTTTGTTACTAGTTTGTAAGTCTATAGGTGCAAAACTTCAAGACTGAAAGTTTATGTTGATTAAATAGTATCCAAGCCAAGTCGTAGTTTTGTTTTTCACTGTTTTTTTTTAATCATTTTACTAAATAATTCTGTGAATACAGAATTTAAATATTATATAATAAAATAATTTAAATTGAAATTATGTTTTTAAAAGTAGCATAAATAAAAAAAGAAAATATTTTGATATAAATTTCAGTAGTCGTATACTTACAGATCAAAAGAGAAATAACACTCATAGCTACCAATGATTTAATTTTTCTTTTAAAATAAAAGAGAACTATTTAGTTAAGTGCCATAGCTTATATGTTTTTGATTACTTTGTTTTTGTAATAAACTGAAATAAGTCGCAGGCTTTTTTTTCTTTTCAGTTTTTTTCGGAGTTTCCAATATTGTAAAATGGTAATTGCTATACCAAATTGAAGGTCGATATCTCTACTTTTAGATTAATTTCTTTTATTTTGAGAAATATGACAATTTTTTACATTTTTTTCATATTTAGTGCAACGAGTCAAACTTGCAAAACTTAAAACGTAATTTCCCAACATTTCAAATTTTTGAGTTATTTCTCTTTATTATTAAGCGTGCGATATATGTGTACATGTTTAAAAGAACCTTCTCGTCTGGATTAGATTGTTTATAATTGAACATGATAGCTTAGGCTTCTCTTGTATTTATAATTTTTTGTTATACATATATCCTTTTTAAATCCTAAAGCACGCCCTTTCTCATTTTCCACTGACCCATCGTGAAGTATTTATTAGAAAATAACTATGTTAATATCGTTGGCAATAGAACCGCTAGATGTCGTTTTGATAATGCCTTTCTTGCATGTTGAAATACTATTACTCGTTAGGTGAGTCCTTAGTTAAGTTACTTAGTTGCTTAATGTTAAGTTATCAGCCGTTAGCTGTCCACTGTTACACACACACACAATATACCCCCCCCCCCCATTGGAGAGTTTTGTCAAGAGTTGCCATGCTTGGCAGACGGGTTGGCAACCGCAATAAGGGTTTGGTGATGTTTTAAGAGGAATGCTACTACCCAGCTTTAGACTATTAAGTTCCTTTAGTCGCCTCTTACGATCCCCACGAGTAAAGAAGGGGTGGCCCGTCCTGTGCTGGAACCACAGGGCGGAAAAATAAAAATAACAGACAATAATAATAAAATTAAACTATCCACACATAAATCTGAAAATCGGTTTAAGCCTGGAATTCATTATTTGCATTTCCACACTCAAACGTTTTGTAACTAAACTACCATCATGCTGCTTTTAAGCAAAATAAAACTAACTTCAAAACAAACTCAGCGTCGGACCGTACCATAAACTAATTTGAATGATTCATTTGATGGGTGATATGGGACTCGTAAAATGGGATTAGTTGAACACGAAATTAATTGCGTTTGGACTATCAGTAGCAAAAAGCAAATAAATTTTCACGTTCACAAGCTTTGAGTTGTTTTGTGTATTTACAATTAATTACATTGAATAGAAGTAATCGTAAAAGTGCTGCTGTACTTATAAACAGTTCTTTTGTATTTTTTTTTTTATTGAATTATAATGAAATAGCAACCCCGCCTGCGCTATTGGTATACACTGGCGGGGCACCAGTGAGGGATGATTGGTGACGATGAAAAGACAGGCCAGTTAGCCCATCGTGACAAATTCAACGGTAAATTAGTCACGATAGTTTCCAGAGAGAACTTTGGAGGTCGACCCGATAAGATATATTGATAGCAATAGGGACTAACCTCCCCATTACTAACAATCCCTTCCCCCCTAGTTCTTTTGTATTGTCGAAGCCAATCTTTGTTTACGTAACCTTCAGAATATTTGCATTTGTAGCGCTCAGTTTTGTGTTGAGTGTTATGTTCGCCACAACGGCTACAGTTTACGATTGTTTTGGACTATTTTTTTTTTATTTTTAATTTTATCAATTTTTTTTATGTTACAATTTTTTATTATTAATAAGCTTTTCGTCCGTTTCCTCGTACGTGTGGATTTCAGAAGTAGGAAAACCAGTGAAATAGATCTCTTCTAGATAACGTGCTAAGATAAAACATACAACAGACTTTAAAACCTTTATGAATACAACTATGAAAATTATGTAATCAGACGAATATACGGACAGATTGACAAATTAACGGATTGACGGCTGAACGGACTGATGGACGAACAGACGGACGGATGGATAGACAGATAGACAGACGGACAGATAAAGAGACAAAATTTCTAAAAAATATTGTTTTAGCTTCTATTTACCACCTTCTTTATACCACGAATATGGCAAACAGGCATACAGCTCTTCTGATGGTAAACGGTCACTGTACCCTATGAATACCTGCAATACTAGGGGTGTCATGTGCACGTTGCCAACTCTTAAGAACCTTTTCTGAAGAATTCCACAGCCTGAGCGTTCACGAGAGAAAATTTTTTTGAACCCGCATTTAGGTTCAACCGTGTGAGGTTAAGGATGATTATAATATGCACAGATCCACTATTTTACTAGTACTATAAACTAACAAGCAAATTTATGCGTAGCAATATATACAAAACTATTCGAGCGAGGGTGCCGCCCTCTGGTGTCGAGAATTACCACTGCGTTACGATGTTGTTAATTGTAAAACAGCAATCCCCGAAGTTATTTAATTATCGCGCTCAGGTAACTTCCATTCGCGTGTTACGTCGCATTAGACCCGCCAATTAAACATAGCTCTCTATTTAAGCGAAGTAAACGGGCGGCCATGTTGGAAGATAGATATTTAAGTGTTTTCTAGGAGGAGTTACTCAATTCATTTGTTTTTAGATTGATTACTAAAAAAGAGCATTTCCTTTATATATTTTGGCTATGTTACGGAAATACGTCGGTATGGTATATGTTGGTCGTATTGGAAAATGCTTTTTTTTGTCTAAAAGGATATACTTACAGATTGGTCTATTAAAAATTTTATAGGGCGAGGGATGGGCAGCAGTGTCCTTCTTAAAACATCTCCAAAGCCTAACTGCTATTGCCAATTCGCCTGCCAAGCGTGGTAACTACTGGCAAACCTCACCAAAAGGGAGGTTTATGTTCAGCAGTGGACAATTAAAGGCTGATATGATGATGATGATATACTTGTGTCTTACATCTCTTTTTATCCAATTGTGGTACAAAAAAAAAGGTTAAGGTTTTTCATTTATATTATCATATCTCCGATACAATCTATATTATTATTCTCTTATCGTCTTCTAAATTACTTGACATTACATAATATATAAAAAAAAAGAAGTAACAAGACTTCAATTTTAGATTTTTTTAATATAGAACAGAAGAATAGAAATTTCTAGGAGCCACAATTATTAATGCTCAAACTTCATTCTCTTAGTAGCAGAGCAAGTTGAAGCTCTCAGCTATTATAAAGTAAATAAGTAGGGTGCATTGTAAACATACGATAAATTTGCATAACCGCTATGTTTTAAGATCGTAAGTAACAATATGGCGAAGTAATTTGCGCGCAAGGCTAGAACGTAGCTAGTAAGTAGTTTCAAAATGGAAATTAATATCTTTAAAGGATATGTTTATTTATTTAGTTATATATATACAGTATCTCAAAAGTCTATATATATATTATGTAACAAGAAAGTAATGAACTCATTTTGTTTGAATATAAAAAAAAAATAACAAAAATATAAACATAATTTTAAAAAACAATATCTCAAAAGATGTTACATTATAGAAAAAATATTTTTTTTCTTTTTTTTTATTAATACTGAAGGATCCTGCGTTTGATTACGATCTTAACCGTTGGAAAGCGATGATGTGGTCTAAGATTGAGCTCACGGGCCCATTAACATCTAATAATAAAAAAATAAAATAAATACTAATAAAATTAAATAATAGTTTATTGGCACAAAATGTTTTTGATTTTTACACGACTTAATTAATTCATAATAAATAAATCTTTTTTTAGGAAATTTATAAACTGAACATTTCTTTTATTTACTAAGAA